ATGAGATAATACTAAATCATGATCAGATGGTGACACACATTTTTCGCCAATCGGCGATAAAATTAGTCCACCATAATGTTGACCAAGTTTTAACGGTTTAACATACCCCAAACGCATTAATTTTCTTCCTGTACATCTTTTCGGATCCTAAAACAATACAATAAGAATTTAAAAATCTCTAACGACGGAGATAAATTACAAGAATCTCACACAATGATTTAAATCCCACATAGTCAATCGAACAGGATAAACATCCGGCGACCAAAATGGTGTTGAATCCCCTCCTTCTTCTTCTTCTTCCTCTTCAAATTCGTTCGTCTTCTCGTCATCATCCTCATCATTAACGTGCGTCAATGTTGGATTCGTCTGAAATCTTTCGCCAACTTCAGCTGATTCTTTATCAAGTCGTTGAAAGTGCTTGGTTTTTTGTTTGATACGACATGGTTTTTTCTTACAATGCGACATCTATAACCTATCGAAATCACTTATATACACTCTTTATGCTGAATTATTCATTATTTATCCGTGCGTTAGATTACATATAACAGATCTGAGTTTATTCTCTTTAACATTCTGGACAGTTCAAAACAGATCAAAAGCTATCATTCGAAAATTCAATGGTTTTAGATTGATAAAGCGATTACAGAACATTCTTTACATAATTAATATCTGCTACAGCATCGAAGTTATTTTAACAAGTAAAATAGTAGTCTGAGGAAAACGCATTCGTTTTTTGTGTGTTCAATGCAGTTGACTATATATGTGTACATGGGAACGGAGAGGAAATTGAATAAAGAGATGTAGTAGTTATTCAAAACATATTGAATGCAATGTGTTAGTAATTGTATATGTGTAATAAACTCTTCATAATAATTACTTTGTAAAGTGAAAAATTAATCTTTATTTTTATTCTTATAAATCGAATAAAATAAGAAAGTTAAGTTGAAAAATACTTTCAAATAAAAACATAAGCATTTTAAAGTGATTTCTTTTTTTCCTCTTATTTTAACCAAATACAAGCGGATTTCTTGTTCTCATAAACAATAATACATTATGAGAGAAAATAAAATCAACATTTATTTCTCACAGCAAGACCTCAAACGTACAACAACACCATTTTCTATTAGGTATCATTTCATTTGATAAGGAAATGAAATTTATGTTGATGGTGGTATTAGTAAAAAACAGCAGTATTAAATGGAATGGAAATTTATTAAGCAATTTAGTCATATTAATCGAATATCTAGACAAACACGCATACATCATACACAATTGAATAGACGATATGATGAACAATTAGCACGACAATTAGAACAACTCGATTATGAAAGAGAATATATTTCCTTAATCAAAAAGAAAGAATTCGATTCAGAAAATGATCGAAAAAAATTACTAGAAATAACCATTAAACAAATAGCAGAAGAAAAATGTCCACAATTGAAACTAAAAACGAACGAAAATCGAGAATCTGATACGAATGGAAGACCATCAGAACAAGGTATAAATAAGCGCCAATAATTATCCGATATTTACTTCAAGAAGATTATTTTTTCGTCCTGACGATCCGACCAATAATAAAGTCTTGTATTATGTAGATATAAAATTATTTGGGTTGTACACTACTGCTCATTACCTTTTCAGTATTTTCATCAAAGATATAGCAACTATTTTTTTTATTTTATTTTATAGGTATATCAAAACTGAGCATTAATAATATTATTCATACAAAACCTCATTCTGCTTCTATAAAAAGAAGTCCACAAAGTAAAAATGTCAATAATTTTCTACAACCACCAGCGTCACATACTCAAGATACGACTATACCATTGTCAACCAATGAGCCTGTTCGATTAACAATAAAAAACCAAGATAAACAAAGGTTACCCATGAAGAATTCTGAAAACTCATTTACACATCCGTCGACAACTGAACGATTACCGACGACAGAATCTTGCACTCTATTTTCGAGTAATTGTCAATTTTACCCATGTCAACCGGTTTATAAATATACAAGTTTCACAAATCGGGAAAAAGATCGTACATGTCAGATAAGAACAAAATCGGATCAACAGATGAATCCACCTTCGACCAATAGTAATGAGAAAAATACAACAGCACATGATTTATTCAAAACAATAAACGAAAAACGAAAGAAACAAGGACAAAAACAACTTTCATCCTTATCACTCAATCAAAATGATCTTATTTATCGATACATCGCTTTACGAAAAACAAATGCACGTTTAGATGAACAAAGTAAATATTTAAAAGAGCAGTTGGCTGATAAAACAACCTACGGATATCAGAGAGAACGTCAGAAAAATCTATCGCGTGCAATAGCAAGACATACAAAAATAACAGCAAAATTCTGTGGTTGATATCCTGTCTAGAATAATGAATGACACAGACAGTGAATAGTCATGATTTGAAAAAAGTGATTTCTGGATAAGTGCAATAAATCTCATAAATGCTGTTAACAACCTTGTATATAAGTAAAACATCTGATCAACTTCTTATAAAACAAGCTATTATTAGCGTTGTTGCCACTACACACAATGTAAATATTTCATATCAACTAAACAATATCTTGATATAATAAAAACAGGTTTTAAAAACGTTCAGAATCGTTGTGATAGTAACGAACAGTATAGCGGAGAACGATTTAATATGTCAGAAAAAAATTTCTATTTGAAATGTAGTTATTTAGATGGAAATATGCATTAATACTAATCACATTAATTAAGTAGTTCAGACAGACAAATCATAGATTAAAAGAAAAGAACTGTTTAAAAAAAAGATAATAAATAGATAAATACAGATCACAGTGCTCAATTGTATCTATACATCATCAAATTTTACTGACTCATTTGAATCCGATTTACTCATCGATGCCATTATACTCTTAATAACGTCTTCACTAAGCAACATTCCCGAATTCCATGCAGTCTAGAAGAATGACAAAATAAAAGTTATTACATTCAAATATTTGAAGTGTATAAATCATATATACCACAAATTTGAAACAATCATCGACGCTGTGATCTCGTGCATAATTTAAATTAATCTTTGAACCTTGGACAGCTATAGGACTCTTCTTCGACATTGTTTCTGCCAATTCTATAGCTGCTTTAAGCATAACATCACGATTTTCGAATATACGACTGAAAAATAATACAAACGATAAAGGTGATAACATGGATTATATTGTACATACCTAACAAGTTGCAAGTCTTTTGCTTCATTTGCATTAAACATACGACTTGAATACACCAATTCACGAAATAGACTATGATTTCCAATTAATTTCGGTAATAATTGTAGTGTCCCTACATCAGCTGCTAATCCCATTTCGGCTTCCTATTGCAATAGCAAGAAAAATTAAGATAACTAAAGAATATAAGAAAGTCAAACTATGAAAAACATCTTACCTACTTACTTTAATGGAAAACGTCACATCTTGCGAGCAAAATCGAATATCGCAGGCAGCGATCAGATCTACTCCTGCGCCTATACAATAGCCGTGGATTGCTGCTATGACGGGTTTTTGGCACTAAAAATGGTATGAAATAAATTAGTCATTTAATAAGAATGTACAAACACTTTTTGTCTCACTTTATCCACCGCTCTAAGAGATGATTGTATTCGTTCGATCATTTTCTTAAGATGTAACATTTTTCGTCCCACATCGTCAATGTTCTCAAGTTCTGTTACGGCAGTAGTCGATAAATACCCAACATCAACACCTTTGAACGAGCGAGAAAAATACCTTATGGAACACGTGAAACTTACGAGGGAAGATTTCCAGGTGTTACTCGTCGTTTGAGCCCATCTTTTGTTGATGGATACAGCAAACTATTGTAAAAACAGTTTTAGAGGATTTGTACCCATGTGCACTGGTTGCACAGAAATCAATGACTTATTTTACAAAGTCT